GATTATTCGATTTAATCGGACATGTTTCTCAGTGCAGTGGCACAATATAGAGAAATAATATACAGGGTGTCCCATTTTAACTTGGACAGTAAAATATCTCAAAAACTAAGCCCACTTCTTCTTTTATCTTGTTATGGCACCCGGCTCCTGTATTGAGCCGATACGACCACGACGAACCAATAGTCTTGACTTGATGGTGGAAATATCTTATCGTGTAATCTCGTTTTTGATGTCACACAATGCAGAGGCCCAACTACCGAACCTCGCGCGGGATGATGCAATCCCTATTGGATGATGCAATCCCGCAGGATCAAAAATTTTTATCTTCCGTCGGAAGACGTGTGAACCGCTCAACGGCCCAGACACGGGACTAAACTAAGCCCAGCAAACAAAAATGTTTCAGACAAGAGTTGTATGGTTTCGAGGGGGACATAAGATGGTGTCGCCGATCTGTTAACACTTTGCCGACTCCGGGGTGTCGTCTCCCGACTCTGCGTGCCGTAAAGTTGTACACGCACCGGCATAAATGCTGACCCTATCCTTGTGAGGTGCACGCACACAACTACAGGGACTCTAGACGCGGTCGCCGGGAGATCAAGCGCGCAGAGTGGAGAGCAATTATTTTCATCTCCCTTTTGCCACATCTAAAAATAATGGGGAGTCTCCCCAGAACTCGGCGGCAGTGTGCAGCGAGCGAAGGGCCGGTCTCGGGAAAAGGGGTAGACGCGCGTTAATCGTCAAAGGGACGATCGGGCCGAGGCGACTCGCAGGGGGAGTTTCTTTATTCGTCGCGTCTGCACGAGAGAGAGAGAGAGAGAGATTCTTAGTTTCGAAGCCACCGTGGCCCACCGGGAAGCGGACTCGTGCAAACACGGGCGCGTTGAGCTCCACTGACGGTGACGTCAGGACGCATGCGTCGGCATTGCGCTTTTCCTGTCAACAGCGGATGATCCCGCTCCGATCGCGTACGCACGATCGCGTCTTTTGGCATGACATTCGCACGTTATCCGACCCATTTATAATTAGTCACGGGAGTCCGATCTCCCGATCGCATGCCTCGCTGAACAAAGCGAATCTCGGGTTGCGCGTCTTCAGTTCCTTGGTCACCCTCGCCGCGTACCCCCCCCGGCGGCGAGTGAAATCCCTTTAGATGATTCACCAGTAGCCGGTGAGAGAAAACTGTGCGCCCCGGCGTCAGGAGGCGTCGAATTGAGCTGCATCGTAAAATTAAAGAGAAACCCCCCTCTTTTTCTCATGACAGATGTCGGAGAAGAATCCAGAGATGAGGGAAACTGCCGCGAGGATCTGTCGAGATTACTTGCACGGCGTCTGGAAACACATCACGGCGGAGAACATTATTCTTAAGCGCATCAGGTTTGTTGAAGGTTCCCCGGCGGAGAAGCGCGTGTACGCGAGCGGCAAGGTCGGCCGAGTGACGGGACTGACGAGGCGTTTCCATTGTTTTCAGCGGTGGCCTGAGCAACTGGCTGTACAACGTCCAGCTTCCCGAGGGCACGGTCCCGGTCAGGGGGGAGCCTCGCCAGGTACTGATACGTCTGTACGGTCAGGTGCACGGCGAGAGGGCCCTGGAGGGCCTCATCACGGAGTCCGTAATCTTCACCCTGCTCTCCGAGAGGCGGCTCGGCCCCAAGCTGCACGGGGTGTTTCCCGGCGGTCGCATAGAGGAGTACATACCGGCGCGGCCTCTGCTGACCAAGGAGCTCGCGGACTCGACCCTGAGTCTGCTCATCGCGGAGAAGATGGGGCAGATACACACGATGCAGATACCCATCAGCAAGGAGCCCACGTGGATATGGGACACCATGAACAACTGGCTCAACACGGCGACGGATATTCTCGAGAGCACTGAAGACATCGACGGCCAGCAGTTGGAGAACGTCAGCGCGATCAAGTGCATAAATCTCAAGGACGAGATCAATTGGCTCAGGTAAGTAGGTGGTGGAGGAGGCCTTTTCTCTTCAGCGCGTCGCCGAGACCTGGACTCTTGTGATGTTTGGCTTTTCAGGACGATTGTGACGCAGCACAAGCACCCGGTTACGTTCTGCCACAATGATATGCAGGAGGGCAATATACTTCTGCTGCAAAACACGCGACAGCCCAAGTTAGTGCTCATTGACTTCGAATATTGTTCCTACAACTATCGGGGATTCGATATCGCCAATCATTTCGCCGAATGGCTATACGACTACACGGCGCCGGAATATCCTTTCTTTCACGAGCGTCTGAGCGCGGGCCCCACGAAGGAGCAAAAGGTAAGCACGAATTAGAGAAGGGCTTGGAAGATGAAAGTGATCCGGGTAAGATATCTGTTCAATATGTTTCATCCAGTGCTATCATATCATGAGTTGTTTCGTAAGCGGATTAAATCTAATTGATAATGCAATATTCATAATAAGAGCGATAAGTGTATCAAGTACGAGCGTATCGCGAGGCTCGATAAGGGAAAGTTGCGTGCGTAGGAGAAATTTGCGAGCCTCGGTAGCAATTGATATCGACAATTTCATATCTCACTTGTAATTGAGGTAAAACATTTTTTGTTTTGTAATTTTTTTTCCCTTCGTACGACTACAATACGACCTTTGTAATTCACGTCTGACTTGGGGCGAATGTAAATTCGAAAGTAAACGCCCGCCGCCCGCGCGAATCGCCGTAACGCACGCTGTTTCGCGTCGGGATCTTACGATACCGCAACTCCGCGACGAGGCGGCTTTCGAGTATCATTGTTATTCGGGTACTGTACGAGGGTACAGTAGGTAGGGTGTCGGCTTGGCGTGTGGTGCGTGTGTATATATTAGTTTCACAGGACCCCAATCCTTCAAGACAAGGCTGATGCCTGCAAAGAGAGAAAAAATTGGCCGGCAATGTGTGAAACTGTCTTTGCTGTGACGGATCCCGACTTGTGGGGTGGTCTATGGAAACCAGGGTGCCACCGGTACCACCATCTTGGCAGCAACAATCATCTACGATTACTAGAGTACCTGTACACTCTCCTCACTAGTCAATTCATAGCCTGCGTGCCCTTTCGAACGTATCTTTTCGGGAAATAGCTGTGCTATTAAAAGTGCATTACCTTCCATTGGAGCATTTTAATTGACACGTGTTCTGTATGCGTAACTAATATGTGCTGAATTCATACCTGAGTTTGCAAACGATTTTTTCAAACAGTCCAGGCTACCGATTAGTAGACGATAATTTGTCGCGCGATGCCAATGGGAGTTCTTTAAAGAAACAGGAGATACTTATCTTCTCCGGCAGTAACGGACAGGCGCGAATAATTCTCATGTCAATCATTGTTGTTTTCTTTTTCCTTACGTTGATTTTACCTACGAGAATTCATTTCGATATATATGTACTTTATGTTGTTACACAATGCATCCTAAATTATTTCTTTCGTACTTTTCAAATGCCTGATATCTCATTTGTTAGCAAATCAAGCTCTGTGTATGTCTAATTTGTTCATATTACTGTACAATGTTTTTGCGTAATGTAAATGCATATTTCGATAACGAACTAGTTGTACTACATAGTTTCATATATCATCGAGTATTTCTTATGTACGAATGAATCTATTAAGACGCTATTTAACGAAGTTATTAAAAGATCATACATATTTGATTATTAAATAAATTAAAGTACAAGAGTGTAGGGTAACCCTCTACGCCTTCTCCTTAATATACGGTTTTTGCAATACGGTTTTTCTCTCGACAGCTCAACTTCATAAGAGCCTACCTGAGAACACTGGGGAAAGAAGGATCTCTGGAGGAGGAGCGCATCATAATGGAAGTGAAAATATTTTCGCTAGCTAGTCACTTATTCTGGGGTCTCTGGAGCGTCGTAAACGCCAAACTCTCACAGATACCGTTTGGCTACTGGGTACGTAGTCTGGCCCTTGTATTTGTTTCCGCCCTTCGATCTGTTTAAATTCATCGGCGTGTGTTTCAGGACTACGCTGCCTCCAGATTGAAGAATTATACGTATCTGAAAGAGAAGTTTCTCGCCTCTGGATCACCAGTCTCGGATGGCAGCCTGAAGAGAAAGTCTACGGATATAGACTGAAAGAAAGGGATTTAATAAGGGAGGATGCATTTGCAAGTTTATACAACGTTTCGCTACGTACGTAGCTAAGCTTTGCTCCATCGATTCCAGCTGATAGCTCCGACGAGCGGCGAATAACTTGGCGCGAGTCAAGTCGTTATTTCATACATCGCGAAATAATGTAGCGTGCTTTTTAACTGCATTGTTTGCAAACGATACGCAATGTGAGCGAGAAGAATAAGACCGAGATCAAATGGAAAGTCAATCATGTGATATAGGATAAGCATGTACTTAAACGTACGGGTCTTCGTTTAGTACTTGTGACTGCGTTCATTCGATTGATTTCTAAAAGAGCAGAGTACGAAAGTGTACTTAATTTTTCTCTTATTCGAAAGACTTTTAAACAAATGATGCGATATTAGTCGACGCTTTGTTCGTTTTTAATGAGCGTTGAGAAGAAGCTGAATGTACATACAGAATTATGTGCTCAAATTGTGACAAAACCCGTGATTTCGGAAGACATTGTACATTTAATCTTTTTAGCTTTTATATATATTTATTATAAGAGTATATCTCAAATTGTTGCCAATCGTATCAAGTCAAATTCACGTACTTGTTTTACTTGTTACATGTAACACGTATAAATTAATTGTAAATAGGGTTAATTTACAATATTCGCTATATGTTATTTTTACTCCGAGTCGTACAATTCATGTATCGTATTTAAGTATAAGTACTTAATATTGTACGAAAGAGGACAGCATTTAACATTGATTACCGATATCTACCAACGTAATGCACCGACATCTAGAAAAATGTATTTTCACGAATTTCCAAATAAAACATTTACCTCTCGTTTCTATTTTGTATTTTATAACTTCTTGTAGAAGAAAAATTACCAATACCAACCTTCCTCGTTTTTCTTTTAATCCAAAGAGAAGAGAAACTAGGCAGAGGATTCTGTCTACAAGCGCATATGTAAGAAATAATTGTTCGTATTTATTGGCGACATGTTAAGAAACTGGATTTCCATAATTGCGAGTACGCGATGCGACGTTCCGCCGGCGCGACGAACACACAGATCGAAAGCGGCCTGCATCCTCAGAGAGTGAGAATCTCGGAGGCCCTCGATTCCAGGAGCTTCTCCATCGAGCTGACGTCCTTGCACCATCCGTCGAGGCGTTGCACCATCCCGGCGATCTGGCCGCGATCCAGGACGCGCGGTTGCACCCAAGTCATGTTGACAATGCCCGCGACTTGATCTATGGCGCCTCGCACGAGACCCTGGGCGAGAGCCTTCATCACCAGCAGTTCCACTTCGCCGAGAGGTAGACGCGTTTCCTGGGAGATCTCCGTGAACGTCAGTTGCCTAGAACGAGAAACGTTGGTGCGTTATCGACAAGCGAACCGTTTAGTCTTTGAGAATCCGAAGCGGCACGTTCTGGAATCGTTACGCACCGATTGTTGGCCTGCCGCTTGAAAGTCATTTCCATGAGACAGAGCAGCGAGATCTTCTGTCTCAATTTCAATTCCTGCGCCGCCAGATCGGCCACTTTGCTCCACTGTGGCTTGAGTCTCTCCAGCGCGACGATGTCGCCGGCGTTGAAGGCTTGCAGCAAGTCGACGAGCCAGTTGTTCGGCGTGCCCTTCAACGATTCCAGGACCGGGTGCGCCAGCAATTCTCCGAGATTGTAGACGCCTTCGCCCAGGAGCGCCGCGAGCCCGAGGAAGAAGGCGTGCTGTTCTTGCTCCTGTCTGCTCAAGCTGCTCAATTCGATGCAGCCTAGGTATCTTAATGATAAAAGGCAAAATAGTCACTGACAAAAGATTTCATTAATTATACAAAATTTATGATACTTGCGCAATCTCAACGTGTTTATGCGCGCTATATGTAAGAGTACCTTAATGCCGTACGGTAATATTCGGCGTGCTTGCCCTGTAATCTATACAGCCGGCTGGCGAGAAGGTAAAAACGTCCGTGAACCGTCGTAATGCCGTCGGCGTTGTCCAGCATAGCTTCCACCTCCTCTATGATCTTCTTCGCCTGCTCCTGATTGTTGAGCTTATCCAACAGAATCTGCCCCTTGAGAACCTTACAAAGAGCGGTGGCCTCATTGTTGCTCTGGACCTTCGTCTCTGTCTTCTCCAGGAATTTTATCGCCTCCTGCTTGTCTGGGAACTGCTGTATCACGTGCGCCAGTATCTCCACCAGCGACAGCGGGTTTATCCTTTGCGAAAACGCAACCAACGATATTAGTGATAAGCGCGAGCAACAGAGAGCCGTGCGCGGATTAACGTAAATACAATCTAGGGTAAGAATCGCATGCCAAGGTCTTAACTATTTAGAGTTGAAGTAGAGCCTAAGCGGCGGCGCTCACTTGTTCTCGAAGGTCGACAAGAAGTTGACGTAGAGCTGCACGAGATTATCGCCCTGCTGGAGCACCGGGTTCTTCACAAACGTCTCCAGTTTCAGCGTCAGCTGATGCCAAAGCCTGCAAGTCACCGAGACCGGCGGGGTCTGCCATTAACGCTCTCTCGCCCCGCGGTGTCCGGTCGCGCGAGACACCGCAATTGCCGTCACTCACCGTTTGCTGTACAGCTCCTCGAGCTGCGCCCATTCCGTCGCCAGCTCCTTGTCCGCAACATTTTGCTTCTGGCTGAGAAAAGTGCTAACATCCTTCACCGCCACGGTCGCCGCCATGCTTGACGATGATACCGCGAATGTACGCGCTGCACCGCGTGTGCACACCCTCTGCACTCGCCGTACACTCGTGCCAATCTCTGCGCGCGACCGAGCGTCCAAAGCGCGCGAAAATTCATTCCCCGGGGATCCGAGCCCATAATTTTGTGTTCGACGTAACGCAAGAAAGATGTAGCTTTACTTAATTATGCGTGTGCCAAGCCTGGTACAAGACGTAGGATCGTGCGTTCGACATTTATTTTCGATATTACAGACGGCCGAAAGTGTACACTCTATTAAATAAAGAGACAATATTTACAGTTCAATACGATCGAGAGTAATCCGAAGTTTGTGTTCAAACTATGAGCGAACTTTTTACCGTGCAGGGACGATTACACTTAGTATAATAGGCGACTGTCTCCCCTTACAATTATTCCCTTAGTAGCTAATGTACACGATGAATTTATATATTGTCTTAGTATATTACATTTTACAGGTAATATACACATTTGACACGTATCTATAACTGTACATTAATATATTTGTACTGTCTAAGGCCAGTACTCATAGTCTGTTTTTATTTCAAGACTGTTGCAATCTTAAGTTAAGAAACGATTAAGAAACGATAATGTTTATGCTGTCTTTGTTTTAAATACCACACAATAACTGGCTTGTGTCTCGAGCCTGAGATACGCATACGAAGACGTTTGCAAAGAATAAACGTATGTATTAAAATATATATGAAAGTAACAATTTTACCATATTAATAATAAACGAATATTTTATAATTTAAGACTGTCTCAAATATAACAAGCTATGACTATCGGCCTAAGAGTACGTCAACGTACAATTTTAATATTCCTCGTCGACGATTACACAGACAGCTCAAAATCAAGTCTGAAATATGTATACGAAGACGCTTGCAACGGATAAACGTATATATTTAAATATATATGAAAGTAACAATTGTACCATATTAATAATAAATGAATATTTTATAAACACCGTCTTGAAATTACGAGACAGCCGTCCTGCTGAGGTCCTAACATAACATTGTATTTAAGACGGTCTCAAAGATAACAAGCTATGACTATCGGCCTAAGAGTACGTCAACGTATAACTTTACTATTCCTCGTGAAAGAACGGAGGAACGCAGCGGCACGATTACACCGACAACTCGAAATAAAGATATGTCCTGGTTCTAATCTCACTAACGCCGAGTTCGACGAACATCCCCCAACGTCCGAGCGCAACTCGTCCAATTTTCCACAGAAAACGGCGAACGTTGAAGTGTCACGGTACGATCGGTCTTTACATCTCGAAGACAAATTTACGATGACAGGGCGGCGACTCCGGGCAACACTTTACCCTCCAAGAGTTCCAGGCTCGCACCGCCGCCGGTGCTCACGTGGCTCACTTTGTCCTCCGTTTTCCACTTGGCCGCGCACGTCGCCGTGTCCCCGCCGCCGATAATAGTAATCGTTCCCCGAGTCGTCGCCTCGACGACGTTGTCCATCAAGCTCTTCGTACCCTTGTTGAAGTTCTCGAACTCGAACACTCCCGCTGGGCCGTTCCACACGATGACCTTCGCTCTCTTAATTGGTTCTGTGTCAAGGTAATATAATCAGTGATACTTTTCTCGAGCGCTCGATGCACTGTTCGTACTCTGAAAAGTAGGCGAATCGTCACGAGTAAAAATTCTGTGCTCACCTGCAAACAAGTCTCTTGTTTTTGGCCCGACGTCGAGACCCATCCATCCGTCGGGTATGCCGCTCTCGACATCCGCGGCTCCCACCGCTGCATTCTCCGCGAACTTGTCGGCGGTCACAAAGTCCACCGGTAAGTGAATCTGGACGTTGTTCTTCTTCGCCTTGTCCAGCAGGTCGTTCACAATCTTTGCTCCTTCCTCGTCAAACAGCGAATTTCCAATCTTTCGTCGCGCAAATGCGAAGATTAGAAATCTGATTGCACATACTGCTCGGTCGCAGAGTTGGGAAAGTTACTTTATAAAAGTATCTAGTTACAGTTTCTCTTTGCTAAAAATGCGACGAGTTTACCAATTCTGAAAATTAACGCGTTACAGTTACTCAAAAAGTAACGAGTCGTTACTTCGCAGTTACTTTCTCGCAATGAAAATAAAAATATCAACCCTGCATCTGAATTGTAAAGTGTCGACAAAGGCGTTTATGCGCAAATGCAAGGCCCAATGCGATCTGTGGAGGTTTAAAATACACATAAAGTGTAACTGAGCTAAGATGGAGAGACAGTAACAAAGTTAAGTTAGAGTTACCGAAAGAAAAAGCAACTGTAACTTCCCAACCCTGGTGGTTTGTAACTCATACTAAAACGCACACGTACACACCTTCATATTTTTGGAAATTTTCAAGAAAGTGTAGGCCATACCGCCTCCGATAATCATCTCGTTCACCTTGTCCAGGAGATTGTTAATCAACTGGATCTTGTCGGCGATCTTGGCTCCCCCGAGTATAGCCAGGAACGGCTTCTCCGGATTGTCCAGAGCTTTCGCAAAGTACGCGAGTTCTTTCTTCAGCAGGAAGCCGCTCGCTCTTACATCAAATCCGTCTCCCATCATGGAACTGTGAGCGCGATGCGCGGTTCCAAAGGCATCGTTTATGTACACGTCCCCCAGTTTTCTCAGAGACGCCCTGAACTCGGCGACCTTATCCTTGTCAGCTTTAATCTAAGACAAATCGATACATTATTCTTATGCATTTGTACTTGAAGACACTCGCGTTGAATCAAAGGTTCGAATAATGAGAGACAATCTTGCATACCTTGCTCCCGTCAGCGCCGACTCCCTTGCCCTCCTCCTCGACGTGAAATCTCAGGTTCTCCAGGAGAATGATGGTACCGGGCGCTGGACTGGCGCAGGCAGCCTCCACCTCGGGCCCGACGCAGTCGTTCAAAAACAGAATCTCCTTTCCCAACAGAGTCTTGAGCTCCTCGGCGACCGGCTTCAGCGTGTACTTCTCGTCCCTCTTACCGTCCGGCCGGCCTAGGTGGGACATCAGCACCACCGACTTGGCCTTCTTGTCGATGGCGTACCTCACCGTGTCCAGTGCGGCGACGATTCTCTGATTATTCGTTATCTTGCCCTCCTTCAGCGGCACGTTGAAGTCGACCCTGGGTAAGTCATCTCGTTACACACGTCTGTTTGGGAATCGCCACCTCCCTGTCGCGACGAGCCGGTCAATTCTGTATCTCGCGCTGTAGCGAAGATGCGAAAAGTGAAGTAACCGCCTCATCCTAATCGCCTCCTCGGGCAGAGACGAAGCCGCTCGCTTCTGGCATTTTCACCACGTTGCGGGACACAGAATCGACACAGAATTGACCCGGCAGAGATCTCGGGGAATCGTGCACGTACCGTATAAGCACCCTCTTGTCCGCCAGCTCCACCTTGTCGATGCTGAGCTTGTTGAGCGCCATAGCGATGGTGCTTTCCCTCGCGAGTTCGGTGTCCCTGTGGAAGAGGCGAGTACCGCCGGGCGTGAGTACGAGCCGCGCTAACCCTTCGCCAACGGGAGACGTAACGTCACGACGCAGCAGCCGCCCGTCGCCCGAGCGTGTCCCAAAGTCAAAGCAAGGTCGCCGAGCGTGGCGACCTCCCGCAATTCTTTGCAACGCCTGACGCGTCCGACTCAACCGGATCATCGCGTCCTGATCCTATAATTCAACGCTCGCGAATCCTGACGGGACGAGCTGAAATTTCGCGCGATCTTTATGTACCAATATCGGCCTCCTCTGCCAATGTATGACTTTAATCGCGGACTTGGCTTAATTTTTAACATTTTTTTCCATGTGGGAAAAGAAAAAAAAAGTAATTTGTATGCATATATAACTGCGGGATTAAAGTTTATCTGCGCTGATAGAAATGTGCACAAATAGGCGTATATTCACGCGGAGTTTTTCCCCGCGGATTCGCCGGGAACAGATTCCTACGAGACGATTTCGTAAATCGCGAGACGCGAGCTTCATCGTTCCGTAAAAATCTGCACGGACGAATTCGAATAACTGCGTGTGGACTACTTCACGCAAGCATTCGACCAATCACCCGCGTAATAAAGGAATACCTCCCATACAGCACAAAATTTGCAGTTACATTGCAATAACATTGCCACAATATTACAACGTTGCTGTAATGTAGCTGCAATGTAACGACTGCAAGGTTTGTGCTGTATGGGTTTAGTCCGAAAAGTCGCTCCTTGGTCTCAAGCGAAATTCCGAAAATTGAAAACGACAAAGTTATCACGCAATACCTGAATTGTTTTGTGGATAGAATTGTAATATTTTACTGTTTAATGCACAGTATACAAGAAGAATTAAATTCGGGGCAACGAATTATAGAGTTGAATATTATTTTGCCGATATGCGAAAAGAGGATTAGATCAGAAATAACGAATTATAACTCGAAGTCTTGCTTTAGGCAATTCTGCCGGTTGAAAATTACAAAATGATAGAATCATAGAAAAGAATTACTTATCATCCAACGTATGGAGAAAAGAATTGGACTCCAAAGAGCGACGGATTTAAAATTCTCTTGGCCAATCAGCGCGTTCGAAAAATTTATCTGCTTGCACTAGTGCGCACTGAGTGCACACTGAGGCCTGTTTATAGTCAATTTTTATATTCAACTTCGTCTCAAATACATGTTCAAAGTATATTTAGACAAAAAATTATCCGTATGAATGTTATACAGATCATTTTACTGGCTAGGAAATATTTCAAAAGATATTATATTTGAGACGATCCTCAAATATAGGAATTGACTGTAAACGAGCCTTAAGCCTCGTCTACATAGAAGTCGTAAAGTCGTAGTCGTAAGAATAGTCGATTATGATTGGCCAATTCTTATGTGTCTGACGAAATTGACCAATCGCAGTCGATTATTCTTACGACTACGACCATTGTAGACAGAACCGAGAATCATTGTAGCGGAGGCTTTAATGTGCACTCAGTGCGCACTAGTGCAAGTATATGGGCTGCTTTTGCGAGATGATCAAAATGATCCAGATAGGATCAAATCTGGAATTTTGTTGAATAAAATTTCAATGGCCACGTTCAGCAGGCACAACTGTTGAGTGAGCGCTCAATGATTTCTTAATATGATTGGCTGGATCTAAAAGTATTAACCAATCGTACTGAGCGCTCACGCAACAGTAGTGTCTGCTGAACGCGGCCAATGTGCTGCTACGAAATTTCAGATTTGGCAATCATAGCACAAGGTCATTTTAATCTGGATCCTTTTGATCTTCTCGCGAAAGCAGCCCCGATTGGCTGATACTTTTAGATCTGTGCTGTGATAGAGCTATTCTTCTAGATTTTAATGAACGATCCAATCAGCGCCAAGCGCTCGCCGAGCGGTTTCCTCTGCTGAACGCGGCCAAGGATACACGGGGCCACTTGGGTGGCGTTTCCGAACGCAGCCTGACCTCATGAAAATCCGCCCCGGCGCACCCGCTCTTTCCAAAGGGCGCGAATACGCCGCCAGTTTCTAAGGTTATGTTCAGGTTATGCTCGGCCGTGTTGCGCCGGCGATTAAATGGGAAATAATCGACAGCGGTGAATGACACGAATGCGGACGAGGGCGAATTCGACGGCACGTTGACGCGACCGACACCGCGGGCTGAGGACAACCCGGGGATTCGGGACGGGATGGAGTCCGACGACGTGTGTCAGGACGGGAGCGACAACGACGGTATCACTCCTGTTCCTTGGAAAACGTCGCTTACTTTTATAATTCACGTTTAACGGATACATTTTGCGTCGCGCTGCGTAAATCGCACGCGCGGTTTTACTATCGTCACGTCGGCTGCTCGAAATCGTCGGCTTCTGTTATCGTTTTGCGTCAATTCCCGAGTACCGCTTGCTCGGTGTATCCAACATCTTCTCCACGTTTCGTCGACAGATTACTCGCGAGTCCAGCCACGAGAAATATAATTCGTTTAAGATGATTCGAGAGTACTTCGTGGACTGTCGTTCTACTCGATTAGATACAGCCTTGGACAAAATGATTAGGCACGCTTTATTATACTGTATATAATACTAGGAAGGTTTCTGTTGTTTAAAAATCGTACCAGGGCGTGCGTTGTGTTTGTACGGCAAACAACTTTTAAATAATAAAAGTCTCCGGACTTGGTATTTTTGTCCAAGGTTGTATATTCAGATAACATATCAATGTCCCATACAGCACGCATGTTTAAAAGACATCTTTAAGACGTTTCTAAGTCGTCTTTTAGATATGTATGTCTGAAAGACTTAAAGATGTCTTTTAGACACGCGTGCCGTGTGGGGTTGTTCTCGAGGAAGTAAATATTCTGATATTCACGTCGAGACAAGAGCGGACGAGTTTAACGGTGACGCGTGCTGTTCCAGCAAAGGATTGCGCGAGTCTTTTGACGTCAATCCCGATAGTGAGCAAGCTGTTCGACGTGCACTGCAAGGTTGGGAAGGGCGCGTTTAGCTCCGTCTTCCTGGCCACCCTAAGGTCTTCCGACGGACGTAAGAAATTTGCGTTGAAACAACTGATTCCCACCTGCCATCCCGACAGGATCAAACGTGAATTGCAATACTTGCAGAAATTAGGGTGAGCCAGAATAGTTTCAGTAGGGGGAGCGTGCCGTAGCTTTGTACTAATCGACTGACGTTGACGAAACGCGCTGAATATTTCAGAGGGGAAGACTACATCGTTGGATTAGACCTTTGCCTGAGGCATCGCAGCTCCGTTGTGTTCGTAATGCCGTACATGAGGCACGACAAGTTCCTGGTGAGTTGCGATTTACATTTTCGAATCTGCGCTTTGGCGAGAGTACTCACGGTGATAATTGTAACTAGGACTACGTCCAAGAGATGACTGTCGAAGAGACGAGGGATTACATAAGGGCACTACTGACCGCTTTACGAAGAGTTCACAAGTTTAATGTCATACATAGGGACGTGAAGCCTAGTAACTTTCTTTACGATCGTATAAATAGAAGGTGAACTTTGACGAGATGAAAAGTACGTTTTCCTCCCCTGCCATCTCGAAAGGTTGCAATCCAACGCAATTTTTGTTCAGGTATTTGCTAGTGGACTTTGGTCTCGCGCAAGAAAGCCAGGTGGAGAAACTGAAACAAATGGCCGCGACAAATATTGCTGCTATTGACCCTGGAACATACGGTGTAAAGCGGAAGAGACTCAACGAAGTAATGTCTTGTACAAGTGGCGGTGTGTTAATGAATTGTCAAAAAAAAAGACCGTTTCTTATCTCTTGCAATCCTTTTTAGAACAATGGAAGCCTCCAACTTGACTTTACTGCCAAGAGAACCGTGAATTCCAAGTGCCATTGCTTTGGGAAGCCCAAAGTGTGCATGACGTGTTTGAGAGAACCGGAACAAATGGCGCATCGTGCGGGCACACCTGGATTTCGTGCACCGGAGGTTTTATTGAAGCACCTCTTACAAACGTCAGGTATTAAACAATTGGCACGACACGACGCGGAAAACAAAGTTCTAGCGACTAAAGGAAAACGCGCAAAATTTCAGCGATTGATATCTGGGCCTGTGGCATAATAATGCTGTGCATACTCAGTGGTTCGCAACCGTTCTTTCGCTCACCCGACGACTGTACAGCTTTAGCGGAAATTACAACGATATTCGGCTCTAAAGAAGTACAAAAGTGTGCGCAAAAATTAGGTATTATACAATACATACTGCGATTATGACAAATGACTTGTTCATTGAAGTTCGTGTACCCTCTGTTTCATTAATTTTTATTAATTTAGTATGCTATTTATTTTCTTTTTGTTTCATTCAGGTAAAAAAGTTATCTTTAGTGAAAATTTACCAGGCGTGGACATTGTGTCTTTGTGCTTAAAATTAAGACAAAGAAACAAAATGATGTACGATACAGAGAATAGAATACATAAGGTACATCTCGTTCATATTTTAAATATATTTTTACGAAGCAATGCGGGAGAAAGTAGATATAGATGAAATCTTCAAACACAAACATAAGAATCGACTCTTGTGTAAAAGACAAGACTTGCAATTCAAATTATTGCAAGTAGCAGAATGCTCGTCAATAGTAATCTCATTTTGTTGCGTTTATCGCGAAAATGTAACCTTTATGTCTAATTTTCCTCCCTGTTGCTTCAATAATGTAAAATACCTTTATTTTTCGATGTCTCAATATTGTTATAAAACTTTAAGGTACCACCAGATATCCAATACCCCAAGGAAGCGTACAATCTTTTGATGAAACTTCTAGATCTAGATTACAAGACACGTATTACCGCAGAGCAAGCGTTGGCTCATCCATTTTTGAATTCGTGATACATTGATGCATGTCTCGGATATGTTAATGCAGGTGTTTTACAACATTTGAGAGGAAACACTTCTATAATTGTTATTATTTCGTTAAAATTACAGCTTTAGTTTATTACGTTGTTTAAATTGAAATTTTTGTTAAGATTTTTCGAGCTAACAAATTTGTAAGTAAATTTAAAAAATTAAACATTTTTAATACTTTCTAAAAAGAAGAATGAAAAAATTTAACATTTTCTAACAGCAAATTTTTATAAAAGACTTGTAAATGTGTTCATGTTGGCTTTTACTGCATGGCATAACTGCAACAAAATGTACAATATTATCTCTAAGTATGTAATATTATATTTAAATATATTCTCATACAAATAGATGCAGTAGTGATTTTCTATCCTAATTATGATTTCACGAGACTAAATATATTTTAATTAAATAAGATATTTTACGATACCGTATTTCCGTTCATGTATTTTATACAACATTAATGTTGCTCTAATTTATATAATACATGAACTGTATGTATGCTGCACGGTAATATACTTTCAAAAATGTACGCACAAAATATATCTGATTGATACATTTGAAACGATAAAGTTACAGAAACCTAATTGTTTCATTTGTTCATTTAAGGCACTTAATTCGAAATACGAGGAACGCATACGACATTTAGATCTCAATGTTGTCTAAATGTTCATGTTATAATTTTCTTACTCGACATGTTCTATATTACTAGTGCTTTGCAACGATTCGCTCTCTTCGACGTTTTTCTTGATTAACTTCTGTGTCGCAGCGACTTCTAAAGCGGTGGCTGCCACTTTCCTGATAGTCTCGTTTTGCACGTTATCGTTCTTGCTCAGTGCCATCAGTAGTTCCATTATATCCGTCTCGATGAGCTTCGCGGCGACTTCTTTCGTACTTGACATCATATTCAGCACCATTACAACACCCCTATGTTGTATATCGCTGTTTGGATTAGCGAGTAAAAAGTGCAGGGTTTCCAGCCAGTCTTTCGAGTCGAAAACCTTCTCGCAAGCCTTTTTGCTGGCCGACGTAAGCATCGCGAGAGCCCCAGCCGCTGCTATGCTAACATCCGGATCCTCATCCCCACACAATATCACGAGATACTTAACTCGATCATTTTCCTGCTCGAAATGCCGGATTACATCGTCGCACATTATCAAATTGTTCATAACTTGAGCAGCCGCGCGTCTCAGCATGTCGTGATCCTCGTACATGTAGGCCTCGATCTTCTGAAATCCTCCCTCCTGCAGTATACGTTTCCGCACGCTGTCGCTGACGCCAGCCAGATTGCACAGAGCCATTAGACTCTCAAAATTCTCGAGAGCGGAGCACTCCGGGTTCAGGAGATTTACGAACGGCCGTACAACCTCCATGATCCTCTGGCCGGGAAACGCGACCTCCGGATTGATTGTGATTCCCAGGCGAGCCAGAGCTTGCGAGGCTTGCTTCTTTCCCTTGTCCGTGCCATCCAGGGCTAACGGCAACAGTGCCTTCGTCCCGCCTTGCTGAACCACTATTCCTCTCACCTCCTGTTGGCTGCATATCGCGTTGAAAACGCGAGCTATCAATTCCCTGCTATTCTGGCTCTCCGTTTTGGCGAGGCTCACCAGGGCGCTAGTCACGCCGGCCTTCGCTAACGCGCACAGTCTTTTATTTACAAAGTCGACGTCGTCCAGCTCGTGTTCCTCGGGAATATGATGCTTGGCGAACTTTGCCAATTCTATCATCTCGGGTATGAGCTCCTGCTTGTCGTAAGCGTTGCACAGGTTCACCAGCGTCGTGACCACGCCGTAGAGAACCGACTGGTCGCTGGTCCTGGCGAGCTCGATCATCGCTTCAACGGCTTGCTGGTCCTCGATCAGCTTCTCTTTTACCTCGGCGTCGAAAGTGAGATACGACAGACCTTCGACGGCCCATTTCCTCATATCTTTGTCCTTCTTGGGATTGATCAAGAATCGTCTGCAAGCCTCGGCCAATTTCTTCGTCGCTCCGTCCGCGAACGGCCGGATGGTCGTGTCTGTGCCTCCGGAACTGCCCAACTTGCACAAGCCTACTAACGCTCGAACACGAATCGAGTCGTCCTTAGACTGATACAGCTTCTTCAGTATGTTTACACCCTGATTTATGATCGCGTTGGCCTTGTCCTTTTTCGTCGCGGCGGCAACGATACACTCGCAGGCCACTTTCTGTTGCAGCACGTCGTCCGTTCCTGCCATGACGAGGATCATCTCTAGGATCCCTTCTTTAGCCACAACTGCGTTTCCGACATCCAACGGGCCCAATAATAAGGTTGTTATCGCAACTACGACACGCACCTGTAAAATAACCGATAACATGAATTCTCGAAAGAGTTACAGTTTTATTCAATTTGGATTAAAAATAGGGGAGGTGTTTTTTCTCTCAAGCAAATTAAGTTGCAGAACTAGCTTCAGAAACAGATGACAGTCATATTTTTCAACAAATTTCAATTAAACTTTGTCACAATTCGTATTTCAATTTAAAACGTACAGTAGAGTATCGACAATATCGACAATAGAAAAAGAAATCTTTAACATTTTCGCTTTAAAAAGTAGAGTTCAAATTGCTCAAAGAAACTACAGTTAAAATGAGTTTGGGCTTTTATTTTGAACGACGTTAAATAATCCGAGAGGATCGCAAGTTAACAAAATTCATACCTTAGATTCTATGTCGGGCGAGAGCAATTTATCTTTAATAAATTCATCAATGGCGTTGCTAAATTTTTCCTTAGCCGCGTCGTAGTACATGTTCTCATATATCTTCGCTAGGCACACGCTGGTTATAGTTCGCGTGGAAGACGTGATGTCCATCGAGGATTCGTACTTGTATTCCTCCATCTCGCTGGCCACCTCCATCACTCTCTGCAAACCGCGAAGCTCGACCAACCGTTCGGCCCAGTCCAACGCGGTATAATGAACGTTGTGCGTGACAAGTTCTATCATTGCGTTTCTAGCGAGGCCTGTTATCGTTCTGTTTGTTATACTGCACAACAGGCACGACAGAATCGAGTCTATTGCCGTCTTATGCGTTTGGCACAGAGCCTTGTCGGGTTTTGAATCGGGTTTATTACTCATGCCGCTGTAAGTGTTCAATATAATCTGAAACCGAAAAGATGTACGGTAAGTTTTCAGCTACTGACAACTACGTGTGCTTCGCTCGACAATATTCACCTGTAAACAATATTGAGACGCGTTGACCCTCTTTGTAGACGTGCTGTTTATCATTTCCAGACACCAAGGCAAACCGGCGACTCTCATAATGCACTCGGTTCGGGCGATATTGTTCTTGCACAACTCGCCGACAATGGAAATCGCGCTACAGACCACTTCCTCGCTCTTTTCGACCCTCGCAAGTTGCGCGATTTTCGAGACACTTTTGAAGATCTCATCGGCACCGGCTCGCTCACGTGCGAGCACGAGCAGATTGTTCATAGCGGTCTCGCGTTTCTCCCTGTCTGCGCTCACGTTAAATACTAGCTCCAGCATTTGTGATACCTAATGGAGCAACATTAAGCTTCAAAAATACTTAAATATAATCTTTATAATAAAAATACAAAATGACTACAAGAGATCATGTTTGTACAGTGTAATTTTTATGCCGTACACAAGTCTACCCTGAGAATTACGCAAGAAGCAAAAATTCTTAAATCCATTTGCCGTATCATACACGATATTAAATAAAACGAAAACTGTCGCATAAAAGACGTGATATAATTTTTCTATTAAAATGGTATATTTCATCAGATTGCCAGTATTAATATAAATAAAGTTTCAAGTTTCCATCAACCTCAGCTGGCCACATTTATTAAATACGCTTTCACAAACGTTTCGACCTTTGGTTTAGGTCCTTACCAAGTGAGATTTGGGGGCAAATGTTTAACCTGCAGTTTACGTGAGAAGAGAATTGCTGAGAATGAAACTACAGCCAAATTTTGGTGGAACGGCGTACAAAGTTAAGAGTATGATTTCACTAACGTCCGGAGTCGACTTTATGTAAGACAAAGACTGATTAGTCATTTTCCTATTTGCACTTGATAATTTTTATATTATTTAGACTCAATTGTCACGCCCTGCGAGCTGGTAATATTTGTAACTTATATCTACCTTGGCGCCAATGCGTGAATTTTCCTTGTGACGTTCCTGCACGATCTTGTGCAGGCGCGCCGCAATGGGCTGAATAATTTTGTTATTGGGATCGTCTAGAATAATAGTCCTCGCGTCGCGATACGCCTCCTCGTATCTCTCCAGCGCCTCCAGCGCCTGGCACCTGCGATACAACGCCTTGGGGTCGTTGTAGCATATCTTTAGCGAGCTGTCGCAGTCCTCGACTACTCTTTCGTAATCGTGCGTCTTCAAATAAGCAGCCGCTCGGTTCTTGTAGTACACCGCCTTCTCGGCGCTGTCCTCCTTCACCAGTTTCAGGGCGTTTGTGTAGTGGCTCAGGGCTTCCGACCAATTGCCCTTGTTAAACTCCTCGTTGCCCTTCTCTTTCCACTCCTGCGAAGTCATGTCGGCCTTCGTCATGACGGGAAGGACTCTACAATGCGAAACATACAATGCTGCATTATTTGTTTCAACGTGGAGAGACTGTGCAATTTTTCACACTTACTTTAGGCCTGTTCTTTATTACTGCACTACTGAACTAGTGCAGTAAGTTAAAATGAAACAAATAGATTACCTCTCATTCCAACTCATTGCACCAGTGTGCACTAGTTCAGGAGTGCAGCAATAAAAAACAGACCCTTTAAACGCAAAGAGCACAGTAGATGCAATTATTACTAAATAATTATACAATGCGGGAGTTTTATGGCTAATAAATAAACGCACAGTTCAATTACAATGCAATTGCACGCTACAATAATTTTTATGCTGATTTTTGTTGAACGCTGAAGCCAGCGCAAGTAAATTCCAAGTCGAGCGCCTCACCTCTCGATGACAATCTACGATTCCCGACGACTGGGAGGTTTCAGAACCAGTTTTCCAGACAACGCTCGGACCCTCTTGTCACTTCAATTATAAATCGCAAGTTGCCTCGCGGCTCGACTCGCGTTCGTTCTCAGACTGATCCAGAAGCCGCTCGCACGTCGTGTCTCGCGCCAATTGTACAAGCGTAGCTAGAACCGCGTTAAAAAGAGACGTGGAAGCATCTAGAGGGTTTATTTTGGGCGCGCCATCTTCGACGTAAATGGGAGCATTGGGGGTTAAATATAGACGCGATACGCAGTGCCGGGCGTGCCGGCTCGCCGTTGATCGCGGGAGCCCGACCTCGGCGACGATTCACGATGCTGGATATTTTTTTAAACGCGAAAGAAGCGAAACTACGTTGCACGGTCACGCCGTCTCCCTTTCTCGCGTCGGGAATTTTCAGTCGCCCGACGAAGGCGCGCGATTTGCCGGAGACGCGATCGAGAAGCTCACCCGCGCGAGGGTAGATCTCGTTCCGCTGGTATTTCCAGGCGCGAAGAGGTTAGGACTCGCACGTTTGAGGTTACAGTATCCTCCGCGAGCGCGGCGCGAAGTTGACGCCACGCGGTCGACTTCTCGGCGCTTCGAGAATCGCCGGGAGTCGTCGATCGGCGCGGCGCGCGGCCCAGTTCTCTTTTTCTGATATTAATTTACGCGGTTACATTACGTACAAGCAAAAAGACGTGTGGCTGTCGAAAGGGTCCGTTGTCCGTAAACAAAAATCGCTTCTCAAATATTCTTCAAGAATTTTTCTCACGGGCGACCGAATCTGTCTCCGTATTAAATATTCCCTCTCGAGCGTCGAACCGCCGCGCATGCGCGGGAAGCGCGACCAGTCCGACAACACCGTGCGGGACGCGCAGCGACGCGATTCGAACCGCGCTTCGTCCGCGGTCTTCGTCGCGAAGAGTCGAGTCGTCGTCGCGAGGATCCCTCCAGGTTCTTCTTCGCCGGACTTGCCCTCGAGTGTCGAGCGTCGCGGCGCTCAACGGCATCGCGCGTCGAGTGCCGCCGAGTACGCGACTGCGGCGCCGGCGCGAGCCACCGACCGTTTCCTCTCGGGCACGACGGGAACCGAGGATCGTCGCCGTGGGATCTTCCTCCCGCCCGATTCCGCTTCTCCCGGCGCCGTCTCGTCGTCCAACGCCGCGAGAGGAATGTCCGCGGCGGTCGTCGCCAGGTATGTACCCGCCGTGTGCGCCAACGAGCGTCCCCAGGCGACCGTTCTCGCCGCAACGCGACGCATTTGAACGGCGGAAGGCGCGGGCGAGCGAGAGGCCGCCATGTTGCGCGCTCGCGTTGCCGAGCGCGCGGCCGCCGCACTCTCGCCAATTCTCGCGAATTGATATACGTCGTCAATTGTTGGCTCTTTTCTAGCGGATTTAAGAGGAATTTGTCTTGCACCTGATGAAATTTCGCACCCGGAGAAGTTAATTCTCGCGGGTTTACGATCTGACCAGATTACGCTGGTGTAATGAAATCGTGAAGTTATCGTATCATGAAACGCTTGTTAAGCGTTTTTCCATTTTCCAAACGTTTTCCCCGTTACGGCGTAAAGGTCGAGTCGCTGCTACAAGTGCTTCGAAGGGTTCATCTTCGTCTTTTCTGAAAGAAGGGAGGAGAAGAGGAATATTTCGGAACGTTTGAAGCGACAGCTTGACCGCAGCCGAAGACTTGCGTTCACGATGCTAGAAATCGGTCCGAGATCTAGTTCCGAGAAATGCGTAGCCCATCACCTTGCAGCTTTTACGGAATAGCTGCAGGTTGATTGGCCACACATTTCTCGAAACTAGAACTTGGACCAAGTTCTAGCATCGTGGACACAGCCCTAACAGCAAAAAGTCGACTTAAAGTCGACTATTCCGAAATATGACTTGGCGAAAAGTCGACTTTTTTTAGGACGAGTCGACTTGATGTCGACTAAAAGTCGACGAATGTCCGCAGAAACGCCGACTTTTCGTCGACTTTTAATTGACTTTTAATCGACTTTTAGTCGACTTTACGTCGACTTTTAATCGGAAAGTAGACTTTCCGTCATCTGTGCTGTTAGGGTAGTCAATGCACTGCACTAACAGGGTAATGTGCAATCTTATTTGCAGTAGATACCGTATAACTATGAGATTAATATACAACCTTTTCATGACCAGAAGTACTTTTTTCGCCTCTTTGATTCCTCGTGGTGCTAGTATCCCATAAAAAAAAATAATTCGGTCATGAAAGGGTTTAACAAGTGTTTATACAGCAAAATTTATGAACCCTCGTGAATTTCCTATCAAGGAAATACCCACAGTCAGGCTCATTCAGTAATTGTGCAATAATAATGTTATATACACTGTACACTCGTCTCAGTCATCGTCCTCTTCGTCGGGTTCTTGCAAATGGTCTATCCTGAGTTCTTTCGAGCATCTATTAGCAAAGAAAAGAAATACCTATCCTGCTCTTAAAGAATTCACTTGTACTTTATTATTTTATTCAACATCAGCTTACAACTATGTAAGAAACAATTTTATGAAAGCTCTACCTCATCCCCAGTCAGTGCGAAAATGGTTCTCGAAAATTGACATGAGTCCTGGCATAAGTAAGCCAGTTTTAACAAATTTAAAAAATATGATTGACATAAATTCTAAGAAAGGAATTCAATTACAATTTGGAATGCAATTGGATGAGACGCTTATTAAGAAAGTGATCGAATGAGATGGCAAACAATTCCATGGACAAGTTAATTTAGGTCTCGATAATGATGAGGATAAAGAGGCCACTTATCATGCTAGCATGATAATTTTTTTTTTTTTTACTAATGCGTAAGTGGCCTCTTTATCTTCACCATCATCGAGACCTAAGTTGACTTGTCCATGGTATTGTTTACCATCCCATTCGATCATTTTCTTAATAGACATCTCATCCACTTGCATTTCAAATTGTAACTTAATTCCTTTCTTAGAATTTTTGTCAATCATATTTTTTAAATTTGTTAAAACTGGCTTACTTATGCCAGGACTCATGTCAATTTGTTTAAACGGACATTTCAAGACTCCAATTTCTAAATCAAACCGCTCAACTAATAAATAGCCAAGTGAACGGTAGAGGAGAATAAATACCGATTTATTTCAAATGCTCGCCACATCGACGAAACAAATCACAAACATTCTCCATCGGTTTAAGGTACATGACCAACTAAGTTTGACTCAGACGTGAAGTAACATCTGTAGACTAAACATCATGGTTTGTCGTGTATTAAAGATACTCTTTGCGTCTTGCTCTGTTCGCCCCGTTTCAAGTAAGTTGATATTTTAATTTCAATTAATAATTAGATTCGTTCCTAATTATTATCCTCTTCGCTATGTGGCGATCGAACGAAAAACCAACAACGTTTTTGTTTGGTTTTGAACCCGGGTCTTGGGATTACCAGACCAGCGCACAATCCTCTGCGCCACGATCGCCACGACTTGTTAACTTTGTCCAGGTTATAGTTCCGAGAAATGTGCAACCACTCGACCTGTATCGTTTATGGAAAAGCTGCAAGTTGATTGGCTACACATTTTTCAAAACTATAGGACTTTGACGCAGTTCTTGAATCGTGGACACAGCAATTTTCCGCCGCGATCTCACGGATCGTTTGAAGCGGTTACCGACGGTCGCTCCGCGATTACCCGCTGGGCTGCTCGCGCCGACGTTTCCGGCGGCGCCATTCCGGTGTCGCTTCCGAGCACGTGTGTTTTTTTGAAACGCGGTGCTGAAAATTTTGAAACGTTACGCCCGTACGAGCATACTACGTGCACACGTACGCAGATCTGGAGAGATCCCGCGTGCACCCACACGCTGCCTCAATTGCTGCGCGCGCGCGCGCGCTCCTATTGTTTCCCTCTCGTGTTCGCGCGGACGTGACTGCGTAAAAATGGGCGAGTACACAAACGTGTACACCTTCCACGACAAGAGCCTGGCCGAGCGACTCGAGGAGTACACCAGCATACTGTCCGGGCACGGGCGAACGGTGCCCGCGTCGAGCATCAAGACGGAATGGGTCTGCGACGTGGAGCTCGTCATCGAGCCGGTCGGCTGGCAGGCGCTATGGAAGATATCGCGCCTCACCTGCGAGAACTACGGCATCCGCTATCCGACCATCGTCAAGGTGGAGGTGCTGGGGATGGACTACCCCGTGCTCAACGCCCTGGTGAAGATCACGGCGGTCCAGGACGATATACACCTGCCCGAGAAGCACGAGGTCCCGCTCATCGAGCTGTACCCCACCATCGAGCAGGCCAACCACAGCCTGGACATCGTTGGCACCGCGCACTGCGTCGACCGCCTGCGCTTCTTCTACAATTACCTGTGGATGCCGTGGGACGAGGACGAGGACGATAATATCGACTGGGTGGAGCAGCACCTGGAGCGCAGGATCAGGCTCTTCTTCGACATGAACAACGGCGTCATCGGCAAGGAGACGTGCGACATCATCAGGTCGCTCATCAGCGAGGGTAAGGAGGTGCAGAAGAAGATCTCGACTTACGAGGCACTGCTGCCCGAGAATTTCCACGAGGACGACGTGCCCGAGGAACTGGCGCTGGAGACCTGCACCCTGATGAAGCTGCACTTTCGCTTTCAGCAGATCAAGGCGGAGATGGACCTGCTGGAGAATCCCTCCCTGAGGGGCTTGCTCGGCAAGAATCAGCCGCATAATCGAAGAAAAAAGCACAGCGATAGCGAAAACAGACAAAAGGTGTATTACTTTGTGTGGCCAGGGGGTGCCGTCAGGCAGCTACTGGAGCTTTCTAACAAAATTCAAACCATGTTGCCCGGGGATGCGACTGTCAAGTACGTTTTCACCCTATTAAAGCCCGTGTCCAAGTTCTAGCGCCGCGGGCGCAGGTTTTTAGGCAAGAAGGAGGCCAGTTTCGCAAACCAGAGATCAGTCGGCTCCCTATCTTTTTCTCTATTATTGTCTAATGCCTGTTTCTATCAACGTAGATTAGTTTTTGTCTCTTTGCCTTGCTTCTCACCCTTTTCCAAGTTTCTAAGAAATGAGGAACGATAAGAGGTAAGCTAAGTTGAGATTGAAGTTCATCTTCATCAGCAGAAATGGACATGAGAAGAGAAGGAGAATCGATTCACCTCCAGTTAGCAGTTGGCTGACGTTTGCGAAACTGGCCCCCGAGAGGGTTTAATCGTTGCAGTCTCTATATTGTTTGTACTTTGCAGAATCTGCGGCTATCTGGACGACGTTGTGGATACATACGAGACGGGCGATTATATTTTACTGGGCGAAGGAAACTATTCGATCAAGAACTCCAACGGGTTACAGGACGGGGTTACAATTATAGGACTTTCCAGCACGGAAAACACGATAATTTCCCCGCACGATCCGTACATGTCGTCGTCCCTGTTCGACTTGTGCAACACTGAGGTACGGCTCCGGTAGTTTTTTCTTTTTCTCAAATCTCCTACGTCTCCGTCACTTCCGCTATTGATTTTGCAATTTATTTTGTGAAACCCAACAGACATTGTTAAGGAATATCTGCGTCGACTTGGGAGCACTTCAGGCAGGCATAATTATCAGAAAGGGCTGTACTGTACTTATAACTGGTTGCAGAATATGCGTCTCTAATGCCACTGCAAGTAGCAGTGCTAAATGGGGTGCGGTTGTTATGCCGGGGGCGAAGTTGGTTCTTGAGAAAACCGTTTTCCAAGGACTAGGCACCGCCATCGTTATTTACGGTACCGGCGAAGTCGTTATGGATAACTGTCGCTTCGAAGGCTACGAGGGTGTGCGGGTAAAGTTATCTCGCCTTGAATCCCGATCGGCCCACGTTGCTCGTTAGAATATTTCTGATAATTTGTGACGTCTTTCTCTTCAGCTGAGCGATAACGCGCGCTTCACCGCGACCAAATGTTCCTTCGAACACGTCACGAAGGGACACGCCGTGGTGGTGGAAACCGAGAAGGTCACTCGTTGCGAGAGCGTGGAGGTGGAAGGCCAGTCGAGCAGCGCGGCCTTGAAAAACGTCTCTTTGAGCGAGTGCACATTTGCCGACGACGACAGAGAGAGTATCACGCTGAGACCGAAGGACACCGCCGCTATCATGCACGGGCATATTAGCGCTACCGTGGAAGAACCAGCCTCGAAAGAGGAAACTATGGAGATATGAGTTTCGCATTATCTGTCGCATTAAATCCCACCCCCCCTCTCCCCCATAGATTCGTTATCCTTTTGATACAAGCTTATTGGTATATTTATGAGAACGGATTTTATAAACTTTCAAGTATTTTTCTACAGAAATATATCTGGTTAAGAAAACATATTGGAATGCAATTTTCTATCTGGCCCACAAAGCGGTTGAAATGGTTTTCTCAAGCTCTGGTTAAGAAAACATCTTGGAATGCAATTTTCTATCTGGCCCACAAAGCGGTTAAAATGGTTTTCTCAAGCTCTGATTAAGAAAACATATTGGAATGCAATTTTCTATCTTGCCCACAAAGCCCGGCGTTTACGCTTTTACGCGTAAAAATATAACTGTTTACGTCCACTGGTTGATGTGTCGTGTAAACAATGAGTAATTTATGGATTATCGAAGATTCATGTTCAAAGATTCATACTGTCGGTCAGAAGTAGCGGAAATAATTGTTTTCGCTTGTTATTTTCCGTTGCTTGTTTAAAAAGCTACGAGAAATTAATAATGGCTTTGATTTTATGCCCGTAATATAATGGAAACTTTATTATTATTTGTTCTTTAAAGTTTAATATTTAAAATATTTTGTAAATATATTTTAAATATTAGTTTTTCTGTCGTACCGTTGTACGTGTTGTCCAATTTATATGATTTTATTTTGTACGCGTGTACGCATGTTGAAAGGTTTATTTAAACATACTGTAAACAATATGTACAATGCCCGCACAATATGTTACATGTCCTATACAATAAATTTGCTAGGGGAATGAAACGAATTACATATTGACGAGCAGTGTACAATCCACGCAGAATAGGGGCTCGATCGTGAATCTTTTTCTTTAGCGTGAACTTCTGAAAAGCGAAAAAATTTCATTAATAAATTCAATATTTGTCAACGAAAATTTTCACTTTTTACGAGTTCACGTTTGAGGAAAAGGTTCACGACTGAATCTCAGGACCGGTTTCACCAATGTTGTTTAACTTTAAGCTTAGCTTAATTCGTTTTTTGTCTCTCTTCAACTATTTTAGAAAGAAACAAACATGAATTAAACTTGTAAGATTCAAGTTAAGCAACGTTTTGTCTAAGGCTCGGTTTCACCAACGTT